TATATTACTAACAGTACAATTATTCTTATTTTATTTGATATTTGACTTTACACAGTGCAAATATTTAATGACATGTTTAATATAATACTAATATACAGTGTGTTTACAAACTCGAGGCGCGTTAACTCGATTAGCAGAAATATGTTTGCAAATAGAATATATTTTGTATTTACTGACATCACAATATAAAAATAATTTTTTTTAATTGCTGACTTTATTGACAAACGGTTCTATTAACAAATGTTTGCATAAATCCCTGTACACAATATATAAAGATGTGCAGTTAATAACTTTCTTATGTCCATTAATTCATTGTTCATTTCAGCATATTTATTCGCAGTAATATCATCGCTATTAATATACCTATTTGAATTCCTCCCAAAAACGCGCTGATAATATTTTAGTTTAAAGCTATCTCCTTTTGCTTTCGACAAAAAAAATCGAAAATAAAATTTTTTAAGATTTCGACATGTTTAAAATGAAAAAATATATATATTTCTTAACACACAGCGGGAAAATTACGCGATCGCATGGAAAATTCCACGGAAATAGCTGTCGATACTCCGAACGATAGCTTTTGTGACTTTGAACTTCTTTACGCTGGCTCTGATTTATAGAAATTAAAATGCTTTTTTTGGCATAATTTTTAAGTTTTCGAACAAAAAGTTCTCATTCTTTTGGGTTACATGTTATATAGAAAAAAAAAACATCCATTATACAGGGTGTTACAAATTATTAAATCAACTCTTTAACCACATATTCTTTGAAGTAAAATATTGGGCCTTTTTAAAATACTGGGTTTCAAATTTAAAATTTAAAAAATAATTTTTATTGATAACTCCAGTGGTGTAGAGATATTTATTTGAAATTTAGCACAAATTTTGATCTTAGGCTGGCACATTTTTTGTGTAATTTTGGTTTAAAATGTCAACGCGCGAACGGAGGGGAGGGGGGTTGCAGTACCCATGGATATCTATTTTCTTTGAGTACGCCTATGCGTTGGGAATATTTTTTTTTAAATAAAGCGGCGTTTTATTCTATTTTTTTCACTCTTGTAAGATTTTTATTTTTTACCTCGTTTACGAGATATTGTAACTTTTTTCGATACGCGACATCGACTTAGTCGAAGTAGACTTTATTTTTTGGAGCTATATGAAATATTTGAATCGTCTTATTTATATTAATTTACTGAATAAAATGAAAATGATCATCATCGATCAGCGATATTTAATTTGAGCTAAATCTAACATTGTATATACAGTGTAGGAAAGTACCGATGGTCTATCGGAAGTTACATGAGAGCGATAAAGTAAGCCATAGAAATCCATGTGATAGACAAGGATGGCTATAATGAAGGCGTCTAATAGTCAACGCCCATTTCGCCCTTCCACAAATAAGAAGTGGATCTTATTTGTGGAAGGGCGAAACGGGCGGTGACTAAGAGACGCCTTCATTATAGCCATCCTTCTCTATCGCATGGATATCTATGACTCACTTTATCGCTCTCACGTAACTTTAGATAGACCATCGGTACTTTCCTACCCTGTATAAAAAACTCGACTAAATTGATGTCGCATATCCAAATAAGTTACAATGTCTTGTAAACGAGGCCCCAAATAAAAATCTTACAAAAGTGAAAAAAATAGAATAAAACGCCGCTTTATCTAAAAAATGTTCAGAAAGCATAGGCTTACTCAAAAAAATAATAGGGGTACATGGGTACTGAAACCACCCTCCCCTTCGTTCGCGCGTTGATTTTTAAAAATTACACAAAAAGTGTACCGACTTAAGGTCAAAATATGTACTAAATTTCAAATAAATATTTCTACAATCACCGGACTTATCAATAAAAATCATTTTTTAATTTTAATTTAGACATCCTGTATTTGGAAAATGGGGCTCCAAAATGAAAAGTGGCATAAGAAAAGTCCCATTACTTTAGTCCAAAGAATATGTAGATAACTGCTTGACCTACTAATTTGTAACACCCTGTAGAAAAAACAAATCTTTGTACTCCGTGTTTTAAGATAACTAAAATTAATTATTAATTAAACTAAAATTACTTTCTAACCGATTTGTTATTTGAAACATCAAATCCAGATACTCTAGTATCTCTCAAACTACCTTGGCGATCATTTGAACTTCATTGTTAATTTGTTTTTATTAGAGAAATAAAAAAAAGGGATTAAAAAATTAAGAGTGATACTACTGAAACTTGGAACTAAAACTGTATTTTTAAACCACGGAGTGCAAAAAGTATTCCACGGCAATAAAAAATGGGGATTCTATTCCTTTGTTCTTGATTGATTTCAGAACCTGACCTGGACCTGGGAGACGGTGGAGGCGAGCTAAATGAGCTCGGTGCCTCGTTTCCACCCTTGGAGAGCCCTCCAGTTCACTTTGCGACTGAAAACAACACAATCGTGACGTCACAAACGGGGTCAACTGCTCTGGTACCATGTGTCATCAACAATATAGGAGATGGAATGGTAAGTGAATAGAGACAGACGTTAATTTAATTAAACGCTGACGGTCCGCTGAAATTCGTAACAAATGAGAGATTACAAAGTTGTTGAGCGAAAGGTTAGTTTTTACGAAATGGAGATCTAAAAAACGGGAAAATTGTTCCCAGGGCATTTGATGTTAATTGTTCAATTAGGGGCAGCTTCAGTAACTAAGAGAAGTGGTTATTTTTATGGTAATTTACGTTACAAATATTTTATAATACGCATAAAAAATATATAAAATACATATTTTTAAGCTTTTAAGTAAACTATTCCCTCTAATAAAAACTATACTATTAATATTTGCACCAAAGCTAAGGAATAATTTTCTAGAAAATTTCCTTATGATTTTAATTCAGCGCATAGAAAAACAATTATGTTGCTATTCGGGGTAACACACCTGGCTTCTATTTTTCAATGGGGTGTTCAGATTTGAGCCGCAACACCCTTGTTATTATTATTAATTTCAGTTATTTTTTCTTTGTAGATACCTACAGGGTGTTCCACCTAAATGGGATTCTTCTGTAACTCTGCAACTGTAAAATTTATAAAAAAAATGGTTTTAATAAAAGCTGTCTAGAATCATGTAGTAGAATACAGGGTGTTCTATTTCGCGTGGTCGCTACAACTTTGTTATTTTAAATGAAACACCATGTATATTATTGCATTTTTGAATTTCTTGATTAATATTAGGTAGGGTTAGGTATTAAACGTACATAGTGTTTAAAACTTTCAGTTCTCTAAATGGGGCTAGATAGCGTCTAATCTAAACCGTAAGAGTTAGAAATCTACAGTTTTTACAGTTCGTTTTGGCATAAATTATGTGAACGCTATTCAGACTCGGAAATACACGAGTTGAAAAACTTCTTTTTTCCAAATGGGATGATCCATATTAACTGTCATGGCTGAATGTAAAATTGAATGTCCTTTCGACTGATGTACGGTTGTCCATACTCATCTTTAACAGTTTTCCAGAAAAATCAGTTTCTTTTCTTGTCCGAAAAAGTTGCTGTTAACACATTAAGTTCTATCAAACATATTACAGATACTCCTATTCCTATTAAAGCTGTAATCCTTAGAAAAAGTATATAAAACATAAGAACTGCAAGAAAAGAACTCAAAAATTTATTCAACGTTTTCAAAACTCAAAAATATACAGGCTGTTACAAATTCGCTTCTGACTACAGGGATCTCGGAAACGGTAAGGGATACGAAGTAGTTTCAATGGAGACAAAGTTGCATAATCAGGGGACCAACCTCTAAAAAATCAAGGCTAACATGATTAGTTTTCGAAATATTTGAAAAAAAACGAAATTTTGGTAATCCGTTTTTGTTTAATTTCAGCCTTGTTTGAGGTGATATTGAAAACAGAGGAACACTTTCTCAAGGCAACTTTTTGTCCTCTATCGAATGGCATAGTCAATTTTATATATGTAACGTTTCGTCGGTCCAGGACCATCACCAACCTCACTTTTTTAAATACGACCCCGGTTTTGTCTCGAAAAATTCATCTTCATGTATTCGTTCCAAATTTATCTAATTTTTTTAGATTTCAGGATATTCATGTTATTAACCCATTTCATTAAATTATTTATTATTATTTTTTAGGTTAAACATTTTTATTTTTATCATTTTACTTTAGTTAATAAAATTTAGTATAAGTTAATAGAGAATTTCTTTCTTATATTTTCAAAATACAAGCTTATACAAGCTCATTAACTATTTAAATATAATTTTATCTTGAACTTTAGCTGTTAATGAATTAATTAAAAAATAAAGGAAATATAGAATAGTAAGAATTTGCCCTACAAGAGTATAAGGATCTTCAACAGGACGTGCACCAATTCAAGTTAATAAAATAATAGTAGTAAATAATGATCAAAATAAAATTTTATTTATTGGGTAAAATTGATTTCTTAATATTTTTTTTGTTAGTTAATGGAAGAGTGTATAAAATAGCAATTGATATAACTAAAGCTAATACTCCTCCTAATTTATTGGGAATTGAGCGTAAAATAGCGTAAGCAAATAGAAAATATCATTCGGGTTGAATATGTACAGGAGTAATTAAAGGATTAGCGGGAATAAAATTTTCTGGATCTCTTAAGAGATAAGGATTACTTAAAGTTAAAATTAAAAGGGCTATAGATATAATTAATATACCTACAATATCTTTATAAGAAAAATAGGGATGAAATGGAATTTTATCTAAATTTCTATTAGTTCCTAAAGGATTATTTGATCCAGTTTGATGAAGAAATAATAAGTGAATAATTACTAAGGCAGTAATAATGAAAGGTAATAAGAAATGTAAAGTGAAGAATCGTGTTAAAGTAGCATTATCAATTGCAAATCCCCCTCATATTCGTCGAACAATTGTTGTTCCTAGATATGGAATGGCTGATAATAAATTGGTATTAACGGCTGCTCCTCAAAAAGATATTTGTCCTCAAGGTAAAACATATCCTAAGAATGCTGTTCCTATAACAATAAAAAAATAGTTACTCCAATTATTCAGGTTTCAATTAAATTGTAAGATCTATAACATATTCCTCGTCCAATGTGAATGTAAAGACAAATAAAGAAAAAGGAGGCTCCATTAGCATGGAGTGTTCGAATTAATCATTCATAATTTACAACTCGACAAATATGAGCTACTCTTCTAAATGCTAGTTCAATATTACGACAATAGTGTATTGCTAAAAAGAATCCAGTTACAATTTGAATTCCTATACAAAGTCCTAAAAGAGATCCAAAATTTCATAGAGTTGAAATATTAGAAGGTGAAGGTAGATCAATTAAGGATCTATTAATAATTTTTAAAACGGGTGAAGTTTTACGAATGGGTATTTTCATTGCTCTTTTATAGTTGCGGCTACAGGTAGGTATAATAAATTCCGATCATTTTCAACATTTGGCAAAACGGAAACGTTTTTGAACATTTACTGTAATTTTTTAAGTATAATAATATTTATTTGGAATTTTGGTTGTTCATATGCATTTTTAAGAATTAATTTGTCATTATGAAATTGAAATTGTAGTAATGTTTTAATTTTGATGCAACAATTTATCGAGTTATATATGACCAGATGATGGAGATAAAACTCGAATAATGTTTTATTGTAACGTGTGATGGTAATAGTTTACTTCCAGCTGGTACTTACTAAGTACGCGGATCTCACAAGGTTTAACGGCACTTAAGAGCGTACGATAATTCAACAAACAAAAACCTAAATAAAAAATTTAGATAAATTTTGGAAAGAATACATTGAAGATGAATTTTTCGAGACAAATCATCTGAATGTGGTTCGGGCTGAGACAGTATCGTAGTATTGGGGGTCACGAAAAAATGTAATAAAATTTCCAGGGTCGTATTTAAAAAAATGAAGTTGATGATGGTCCTGGATAGACGAAACGTTACATATAAAAATTGATTATGCCATTCGACAGAGGGCAAAAAGTTGCCATGAGTTATTTTTTCAATATAACCTCACACAAGGTCGAAATGAAACAAAAACGGATTTCCAAAATTTCGTTTTTTTTTCAAATATTTCGAAAATTAATCATGTTAGCTTTGATTTCGTCCCCTGATTTTGCCTCCATTTTTAGTGCTACTTCGTATCTCTTACGGTTTCCGAGATCCCTGTAGTGAGAAGCGAATTGGTAACAGCCTGTGTAGTTATATTTCTTTTTTTTTAATATGGGTAATATAAACTAACCAAAGAATATACATATATTCTTTTCAAATTTGGGTAATATAAATTTCCTTTTCACTGTATTATTATATTAACATTTTGTAATTATTTTTCAAGTGATACAAATAAATGTTAAACAAATTATTATTGCTTCTTTTTTGAAAATTCAAATAAGTTTTTAGATTATTTACACCCATATTTACAATATTCTTTAGGCAAAACATATAGAAAATTTTTGATACATTTCTCCTTAAGGAAAACATTTTACTTCCTATATTTTATATGTCGCAGGTTTAATTGGGTTCGGAATATAACAATAACATATTCTTTACCTTATGTCGAAGTTCTTTACAATTCCTTGTACCGGCCAACGATGTAGCACATTCTCTTATATCAAAACCTAAGAACTGCCGGAAAATTAGATGCTGTTTTCAAGGATACCTGTCCCTATTTGTATATGTTATACGGAAATTCTAAGGGAAACATCCCGGTTTGTCATCGGTCTCCTTTATTTCACTTACTTGTAAACATATTCCAGCAGCCTTTTCACATGCGGGGAAGCTCATTTACATAGCCTATATATTCTCTTACATTTATTTCGTTTTATTCGGAAATTCTTTGAATACCATGAATGAAATTAAAATGTACCCCGTCTGATTTGCATGCATCCTTGAGCAGTTTTACGTGTATTTCATATTTATAATGTCGGTGGAAGCGAGTTGCAGAGAACTGCAAACATAAGACCGTGTTTGCATTTGGGGATGTTTAATAACCATGGCAGAATATTTAGTTGAACAATTTATAATGGCGGTCTGTATAGTTCTCTGAGCATCATGGTATTTTAATAAATGCTCTTGATCATACTCCCGGGGGGCAAAGGAAACGCGACAGTCATTTTAGACACATCAGAGGTCACATCCAAAGTGATGATATAAGATGTATAAGAAGAAAATTGAAAAAGAGGTGGCATTTGCGATTCGAGCACCCAACATTCCCAAGGAACTATATGGGGACATAATTACTAGTGATTTAAAAACACCCCAACTTTATTGCTTCATAAACGTCCACTAACTGAACGTACCACTCCGATCAAGTATTAGACTGCACATGGATGAACTACCTACTCACTTACTTTCTCGGTACGTGTCACATAAATTATGACAAAAAAATTTATATAAAAGCAATAAACTGTGATAGTGCTTACAAAAACTTTAGGCAGTATAGTGGTAAATTGGAGGAAAAACAGAATCTTTGGAATATTTATAAAGCACATAGAAATGAGGTTCTCAATTTGAAATGATAATTGTATTATGAAAATGCGATTGATTCCTATTATGGAGATTCCAAACAAATATGGAAGACAATAAAACAGTTGATTCGAAATAAAAATCTTGTATTTGACAATGGCATTGCTATCTGTTTCAAATGAGTATTTTATACCGGGTGTAAGGGATATAATAAACAATATAATTGGTCATGAAGAATGGTCCGCCATTCATCTCCCAGAAATAAGAACTAACCTCGAAAACTTTAGTGATATAAGCCTAAATGAACTTAGAAATATAATATCTACATTTAAAAATAAAGATACTGTACATGATGATACAAATGGTAAAATTTAAAGAAATGCCATTGATACCTGTGGTTGCCGCCTACTGAATCTTATTAATACATCTTTTTCAACAGGAATTGTTCCAAATGAGCTGAAAACATCCACTATAATACCCATATCGAAAATAAAAAATTCAAATGATCCAATGGACTTCAGACCAGTCAACACATTATTTGATATTGAAAAGGTTATTGAGAGGGCAGCATATAACCAAATCGTTGAACATATCAATAATAACAATGTTCTACTGAGAAATCAGTCGGGTTTTCGTAGTAAACACTCTTGTGAAACAGCCTTAGAACTTACTGTTACTAGTTGGAAGCAGTTGATCGATAAAGGAAAGTAAGTATATTGTGGCAGTGTTCATTGATCTGAAGCGGGCATTTGAAACAATTGACAGAGGCATTCTTTTGCAGAAATTAAAATTGTGTGGTATTAAATCCATGGCTGTGAATTGGTTGGAAAGCTACTTAAGTGATAGAAAACAGATTGTGACAATAAGTAAGCAAGTCTCTACCGCAAGGCAGATAAATCTAGGTGTACCACCAGGTAGTGTCATTGGACCGATACTATTTATACTCATACATGAATGACATAAATTGTTCTGTAAATTCGGACTTTGTGAATCTTTACGCAGATGATATTTGTTGGCAAGTAGTGATGATTGTTTGGAGACGGCTGTTCAAAAAATGAAAGATGAATTAATTAAACTTGAAAACTACTTGATGAGGAATAAGTTGAAACTCAATGTACAAAAGACAAAGGCTATGATAATTTCTAAACATAATAGGGTAAAAAATATGGATAAAGATAATCTTACATTAAGTGTGGAGAAAAGAAAATAGACATTTTGAAACAATTCAAGTACTTTAACTTTCAAGGAACACTTTTTCACAACACAGAAAAAGATTTCTAAAAAGTTGTTTTTCTTATCAGATATCAATGAAAACAAGATTGACGGTCTATAATAGTATCATTCAGCCACATTTTGAATATTGTTCTACAATACTCTTTCTATTAGATAACAATAGTAAGGCTTCTCTTCAAAAACTTCAGAATCGTGGTATGAGATTAATTCTGAAATGAAGATATACTCCTATACTCCATATGCAGGAGATGCTACGGTGGCAATCACTAACCAAAAAGTTGACTTTCTCTGCAATGATCTTCATCTTCAAGATAATCAAAGGATTGATGCCAAATTATTTCAGTCAGTTCATCAGGTTTAATCATGAATTTCATGAGTACGTTACTAGAAGTGCAAATAACTTTCATATAGACAGATCCCGTTTGTAAAACGATGCCTGGGATCAGTACATTTCTAATGGAAAATTTTCACGCAACTGCTATATGCATGCCCTTATATTTTCCTGTAAAGCACTGTATATAATTAATCACCTCAATATTCTTAAGAAGTAAATGTTGCCGTGGTTATACTTTTGTGTCACAATCCAGTCTAACAACAAAACAAATAATAATTAATTAATTGTCAATTTTCAAACATAAAAACTTGAGAAACTTTCGCTGTACACTTTCAATTGTGTGCTTATGATTTACATACAGTGGATACCAGACAAGCGAGCAGTACTCAAGTTTGGATCTTATCAAAGAATAATAGAGCGTCTTCAAAGCTACCTCATTAGAAAATAAGTGACAGTTTCTAGTTATGAAACCAGTCTAACAACAAAACAAATGGGAATGTTATGACCACGCAGTTGGCAAGTCGCTCTAAGTACTCTTAAATAATGTTTGAGATAAACAGAATTAATAAGCTCGACTGCCCCGACATTTTACAGCTGGTAGACTAACCTATCTTCAAAATATTGCCATGAGGAACGTTCTTATGATTCCGTGCAAGTTGAATGTTCGTTGAATGCTGAGACATTGTTTCAATTCGTAAATCATGAAAACGTCTCTTAAGATTAGTCTGATAATGTTCAGTTATGTCAGCTGGGATAAATCTATTGGAATATAATATGTGTCATTGAATTTCTTAAATTGTATTTTTTATTTTGCAATTGTTTTAACTAATCTGTATGAAGTTGGCACAATAATTCTGAAAGAAGACTTTAATATCACTATCATTAATAATCGCTAATTTTAGTTTCACTATCATCTTATTTCACAAAAAATTAAACAGCTAATAATTCCTACATGATTTCAGGTTTCCTGGATACGAAGGAAGGATTACCATTTGCTTACAGTTGGCTTGACTACTTATAGTAGCGACGACAGATTTCAAGCTATACATTTGCAGCACTCCGAGGTAAGAGACACTTAAATATTAACAGTGAATTTGAGAAGTGAACCGTACACTATCTGGTGACTGCAGCATTCAGCTGTTTAATGGGAATTTAGACAAAATGTGTTAATCAAATATTTATTTCAAATCTGCTTGCTTATTAACAGCAACAGGTGTTTAAATAGCGGCAACAAGATAAATACGGGGTTAAAGTGGCAAATATACAGTATCGTATTTCTATCCCTAAACGATGCTTTTTTATTGTTCCAAATTGTGGAATAAGTGTTAACAAAACGTTAATAATTTTGTGTTTATTTAATATAAAACCCAAAATGATTAGAAGCTGTGCCAATAAAATTTCTCCCTACTTCAACAATAATTAGTTTGCGTCTGAGATACCTCCGCTCACAAATGCTCACTGGACCGGCAAAGGAGACGCTCTAATCACAAATGGTCGTGCCTGTGACTTATTTCTTCTAGCAAAGTGCGTTCTTTCTTTCTTGAGTCATAAATGCAAACTTATTTGTATCGGTCTGTACTTGAAAATGTGACGATATTTTCGATTAATTTTAAAGGGAGTATTTTTTTGAGCAAAATAGGATGATGAAATTTACATGATAGTATACAGAGAACCTATCCTAAAGTAAGTTACTTATTAAAATGACACTGAAAGAGATCGTACTTAGCCACTTATATAAAATTGGCGGAAAACAAATATTTTTAACATTCTCAACAACTTATTTATATCAAATTTCAATGTGATGCATTAATTTTGCAAAAATTATTATCTGAAATTCAAAGAAAAGAAATTATTTTTAGTTGCTCGTATTTGAAGAACGGAAAACGCCTTTCACAGGAAATTATCGTCTTATTCTTTGATGTTCTAACGCTTCTTGTACCTTTTTTTTCAACAAACTGTATCACAGACGGTGGAATTATACATTATCATTGAAATAAATCATTTTGATAATAGAACTTACAAGTAACAGTATGTGCAGTAAATTTTTGAATAAAATAACAGAATAATAGAATATTAGACGTTGAAGGTACCATGGGTGTTACAGGGTAATAATGCCCTCAGCACATTATTATTCATCTTAAAGATAACTTAATTGCTATTTGTACTTTCGTGTAGTTTTGCAACTATACCCAAAAAATTATAAAATAACAACAAAATATTTTGCATTTGTAGATAATCTCCTGAAGTCGCTTTCAATTATGCAATTTGCCCTTGACTTAACCATCTTTTTATTTCTGATGGTTTCTTAGGTAAAGAAACAAAATATACAGAGAAAACAGTCCCGATTTCCTAAAAAGTTAAAATATAATATATGAAATTACTGCAACGGTATACATTTTTATTAAGAATATTTTTTTAAGGGAATGTGTAATATGTTTTCAAATATTTATTTAAAATTTGAATAAGTAGGCTTACATTTCAGTCAAATTTAAGCCCGGGGACTTCGGATTTGAAGAGAACCCTGTTATTAAATTCGTAATTAAATGTCAACATGTTCTGCTTGGTTTAATGAAATAATCTTACATTTCTCGGAGTTCAAATATACCTGGATTATTTTCAACGTGCCATTCCTTAAATAGGTTCAAGGTTGAGTAAACGGCAACTTCTCAGATCGAAATAAAACTTCCTAAAATCGCCCTTAAATTATAATTTTATGTATAAATAAGCAAAAATTAAACCTCAGAGGACATCATACATCTTGTGCTACTTTTGAACTTCAACTTATATTCTTCAGGTAAAAAAGCAAAAATGTGTATGTGAACTTAACTTAAAATGTATCGTTTCCTAAATACATGCCTTCAGGTACAAAAACTGTTTGAACTATTTCAAGAATGCCTATTGATACAGCCTACAGATTTAATTAATCGACTTCTACCCCACAAATTTTGTTGCATAATAATGATTACACTTTCTTTGCTTTACGGTAGTACATAGTTTTAAGTGAATTTTATTTCCTAATCTAAATGGGGCTGAAATAAAAATATTAACATATACATAGATTAGTTAGATTACTATTTAAAATTTCTGTGGCAGAAATACCTATACAATTAATTTAAAAAATTAAAATATGTGGATACTATCGATTGAGTGGACTGTATTTTGAATTAATTAATAAATGCTGATTCTGATATCGATGCATGTAATTCATTAACAATATGAATAATTACTTTAACAGAATTATAACAATAAATTGAAACAGGAAAAAATCGTTTAAGGTTAGGTATAACAAAGTTATATAACAAATAGTTTTGAACAAAAGTAACAACTACTTTCTATAAGAACAAACTACTATACTTACAATATGATGACGGACACTTCTAATACCTTCAAAGTTCTGTTATTTTTTGTTATATTTATTTGTACTATATTGTAGTTGTACAATTTTAGCATAATTTTTTATGTCATTTACCTTTACAGAAATTATTTTGGCAGGTATTGCTACCCTGCTCAGTTTTAATTATGTAAGTACATATTTATGTTAACCTACTCATTATTATTATTATTTAAATATGTTTGTGATTGTTCTACTGTAAAACAAAAAAAGTGCAATCATTATTATGCAATTTACTTCAAAATCTGAGAAAATACCAGAAGTCCAACAGTTCACTTTTTCATAAACGTCTTTGTTGTTTTGACATATTTCAAAAAGTCATAACCTCATATCTGCGACAAAGGAATTACTACTATATTCTACTAAATGTAACTATTAGGTACCTTATCAAATTTTGAGAAACCATTGTTGTCATGTGAACTAACTAAAAGAAAATCCTAAATATACAGGGTGTTTCTGAAATCTAGTGGCAAATTAAGCTGATCGATATGCAAAAATTTCCTGTGGAGAGGTTTAGTAAAAAGTTACAAGTTGATAAAAATACATTGATAAAAAGTCATTTTTTTAATAAAACTGGATAAGGCTCAAAAAAACTTGCCACATATGGGTATTTTGACGATTTTTTCCTTCATGCACATAGGCAGAGATGTAGGTATGTTTTTCAGTCTTAAATCTAAAAAACGCATGAAATGAATATTTTCCTTGCATAAAGTTGACAATAAATACTTATGTGTACTTCAATAATAAGTTTCGGAAAAGTAAAAGTGTTATGGATTGTTTTCAAATTTTAGTGATGAAAAGAAAATTATTTATTTAATAGCTAATGGAAAAAAAATGAATAATATCTATTTAGATTATAACAACAATTACTTATTAACTTTGTTTTAACTTATTTTAATTAGAACAACGCATCTGTAAAATTTGAGAGCAATTTATGGCATTTTTTATTTTTAGTGTTATAGAAATGCGTTTCTTTCAGAAAAACTTATTTTACCAAAAATGCTACGAAATATTTCGTTCAAGATAAAAAAACCCTAAGTTGTCCCCTTCATTCTCACCACCGTGCATGAGGAAAAACGATTCTTCTTCCATTGTTGCAGTCGATAATATAATAACCTGTAGATTCATCCCGGAAATCCAACTTCCTTTAATTTTTCGCTTTGAAAGATCACAGAGAACATGTAAACATCAGAGAATGTAATTAGTGTCAAAAATGTCTTGCATGTATAGCAACGCGGAGTTGATGGATATCATTTTAATTTATGGAGAAGCAAGACAACATTTTGTATTATGGTGAAGCAAGACAACATTTGTGTTAGTTCGTAGAAACTGAGTAAGACGGACCCAAATGTATTTACACGTCGGTGGATACAATTTTGAAAAGTTGTTGTAACATTAGGTATGTCAAATTATTTTATTATTAAAAACCACAAATTAATTTTATTAATTAATAATAACAATAATGACAAAAATAGTTGAGTTGGCTGATATAAAATAGGTGCTATAAAATTTTATTTATTTCTTTCCTTGCGAAATTCGAAATGCAAAAATTTTTGTTCGTTTTTATCATACTGCCGCCATGCCGGTCACATTGTGCGTGGTCAGGTTTTACAGTGGACCAGTTTCCAGTGCCCGTGCAGAATTGTATTTTTAAATCATTTTCGAACTGCCCTTTTTGAGTCCCCTGTACATCCAATTTTTATTTGTTAAGCTCTGAATCACCCTGTATAGTTTCTAACTTACTTAAACAAAGTTTTTTGTTAAAAACGATATTTTATTTTGTTTATTATTTTACCTAAACTACATAAAATGAATACTAACAGTAATACAAAAAACTTAATATTTGCTTTAAACTCGAAGCTTTTTCTAAAAAGAAAATTTAGGTAAATACCTATATTAATATCATACTGTATTTTAAGCTCGGTATTAAGCTAATTCAAACAAGATTCCAAAAAATCTCATCAAATAAAGTCAAACAGTGTTCTTCGATACCAGAAATCTAGGAATCTGCAAGCTACATGTCCCATACTAGCATTGAATTGTACGAAAAATGCCTAGTGCTAATAATAAACAATTATCGAAAAAAAGTAAATTGATATGTTTATTATACCTGATATATTGAAATTGTTAAATAATGAAATAAATCAAAGAACTATCCTGTATTTTTGCTGTTATATCATCACCGTTGAAATAGACAAATCACATAAAAACAGTTACTATAGAGAGATGTTTTGATTTCACATTTTAATTAGGATTGTTCACATAAACATCAAACTGTCGGATTTTTTTTTAAATCCTGCTGCTGACTAGTGTTGGGTTTGTTTTCTGTTCATAAATAACTAACAACACAAACAGCGTTTGTTAAATTAATAGGTATTAAGTTAAAACTGGGGTTTATCGTTTTTTCTGAAATATGTACATAAAATTTCGTGAGTGGAAACCACTATTCAATATCGGCTAGGATTCCCTATAAGTCACGTTATTCTGGAATATTCATCGGGAGCGCTCGCTCGGCATTGTAAATAAAATAAAACTACCAGAGTGAACCAAATAACTTCTCTGAATACAAATAAAATTTCATCAGTTGATAAGTGCAGGAGTTTTGTGTGTGCATTTAATTTCTCATTCGGGTCTCGTCTGCGGGCGCGCTATCTCTGGTAGACATTCGACCCA